CATGCCCGTTTGTCGCTCGAAACGATTTTTGGTTGCGCCGCCGTTTCTTCCCCTCTGTGTTTTTACCCCTTCCTTCCGCAGGTTCTTTACATCCAGGCCTTCGTGTTGGTTTTTCTCCTGGGTAAATTTATGGGCAAGGTGTTTTTCGGGCAGCTGCGGGCAGCGGAGATGGAGGTGAGCGACGGTGAGGGGGGGGAAGAGTTTAAATTTGGCGCTCGGGATGGGCAGATCTGTTGCGGGCGCTGGAGGTGGCAACGATGCTGCTGGTGGGGGCGTTAAAACCCGCCGGGACGTGCGGCTACTGAGGGGTTTGGGGGGAATTTTGAACCCTTGACAAGCTTTTGGTGCCTTTTTTGGGGGGAGATTTTAGCACTAAAGGCCTCTCAGGTTCTATTTTTGGGGGTGATTTGAACCCTGAGAAGCTTTGGCTCCCGTTTTTGGGGGGAGATTTTGAACCCCGAGAGGGTTTCGGTGCCATGTCGGGTGGGAATTTGGACCCTGAGAGGCCTTGGGGCGCTATTTTGGGAGGATTTTGAACCCTGAGAGTCCTTTGGCTCTGTTTTGGGGGAGGGGGGATTTTGAAGCCTGAGAGATTTTTGGCACCGTTGGAGGGGGGGATTTTTAACCCCAAGAGGCCTTAGGCACCATTTTTTGGGGGGGAATTGTGAACCTTGAGAGCTCTTTGGTGCCATTTTTTGGACCCTGAGAGGCCTTTGGTGCCATTTGGGGGGAATTTTGAACCCCTGGAGGCCTTTGGTGCTATTTTGGGGAGGATCTTGAACCCCCGAGAAGCTTTCAGCACCGTTTGGGGAGGGACTTTGTACCTGGAGAGGCCTTTGGTATCATTTTGGGGGGGAATTTTGAATCCTGAGGAGCTTTGGGCACCGCTTTTGGGGGGATTTTGAACCCCGAGAGCCTTTCAGCACTGCTTTTGGGGGGATTTTGAACCCCGAGAGCCTTTCAGCACTGCTTTTGGGGGGATTTTGAACCCCGAGAGCCTTTCAGCACCGCTTTTGGGGGGATTTTGAACCCCGAGAGCCTTTCAGCACCGCTTTTGGGGGGATTTTGAACCCCGAGAGCCTTTCAGCACCAATTTTAGAGTGGAATTTTGAGCGCTGAGGGCTCTTTGGCACCATTTGGGGGGGTGGATTTTGAATGGGGAGAGCCTTTTGGCTCCGTTTTTTGGGGGGGGGATTTTGAACACTGAGAACCCTTTGGTGCCGTTTGAGGGGAGTTTTGAACCCCGAGAGCCTCACGGTGCCGTTTTTGGGGCGGATCTTGAACCCTGAGAGACCTGTAGTACCATTTTGGGTCCAAAAATGGGGGGCGAAGGCTGGGGGGAAGCTCCCCACGTTCCCTCACCGCCTCTCCCTCTCCCTCAGCACCTCCTGGAGCGCTCGTGGTACGCCGTGACGGAGACCTGCTTGGCCTTCACCGTCTTCAGGGACGACTTCAGCCCTCGCTTCGTCGCCCTTTTCACCCTCCTCCTCTTCCTCAAGTGCTTCCACTGGTTGGCTGAAGACCGGGTGGACTTTGTGAGTGCTTTGTGGGGTGATAAAACAGGCGTTAAACAAAAAAAAAAAGCCTTTTTTGGGGCAAACCTCAATCTTTTCTCCGTTTCTTTTGCAGATGGAAAGGAGCCCCAACATCTCGTGGCTCTTCCACTTCCGGATTGTCTGTGAGTGGTTTGTTTTTCTCCTGCCCGGCCGCCGGCGCTTTTGCCTTTTGGCGCGTTGCCGGCAGCTGGTCAGGAAAGATAATTTCGGCACCGTGTTTTGCATACGACCGGGGAAGAACCCGGTGCAGCCGAGCGCGCCGCCATCGGCGCTCGATAAACCTTATCGGGGCGGCCTCCTTAACGAGGGTGCGTTAATGGGGTTACGGAGGGAGCGGGATGGGGTTGTTGGGGGTTTAACGAGGAAATGTGGGGAAAAATAAGAAGCCGGATCCACGGCAAAATATATTTCCGTTCTGGAAAAGGGGATTTAGGGACGTCAAAATCAGCTTTTGAAGGAATCGGAGGGGTTTTGGTGGGGCACGAGGACACAAGACCTGGCTTGAAGCAGAGGAGGCTTCAAACGAGACAGCCTCGTTAACGGGATGCGTTAATTCAACCCTTCGTTAGCATAGAGCTGTTTAGCCCCTCCCTGGAATCGATGCTCCTCGAGCTTTTTGGGGCCCGACCTTTGGAGCTTCAGTTTTTGGAGCTCTCTCCCCACCTCGAGGTTCGTTACCTCCTTTCCTCGTTATCCCCTCGTCCTGATTTCTTTTCTCCTCGCTGCAGCCCTGATGTTCCTCCTGGGAATCTTGGATTTCCTCTTCGTTAACCACGCGTATCACAGCATCCTCACTCGAGGAGCCTCCGTCCAGCTCGTCTTCGGCTTCGAGGTAGGACATGGCTCCTCCTTCGGGGAGGACAAAACCTTCACGTCCATCTTTGGGGTGGACGACCGGTTCCTGGGCCAGATCCTCACGCCCCACCGCGCTCTTCCTCCTCGCAGTACGCCATCCTCATGACCATGGTGCTCACCATCTTCATCAAATACGTTCTGCACTCCATCGACTTGCAGAATGAGAACCCGTGGGACAGCAAAGCCGTCTACATGCTGTACACGGAGCTCTTCACGGGTACGTTGTACTCTTTTGACCCTTTTTCTTCTCATCCCACCCAATTTTGGGGGGTGGGGGAGGGCTTTCCCATCTGGCCGTGGCCCGATAAAGCTTGATACATCGTTACGAAGCTCAATTAGCCCTCAGTTAATGAAGACATGAAGTCTGGCTGGTGCTCAGCAGCACCTGAAGGTCTAATCCATCATTGTCGATAATGATCTGGATGACCTTTGCTGGTGACGCCAAACCAGGAGGAGTTGGCTGATGCGCCACAGGGTTACGCCACCGTCCAGAGGGACCTTTTCCGGCTGGAGAAATGGTTCAAGAAGAACCTCACGAGGTTCAACTAAGGATGGGCCAAGTCCAACAACCCCTGGCACCAGTATATGCTGGGCAATGGTTCAACTGGGGGTTCTGGTGGACACCAGGTTGAGCACAAGCCAATAATGAAGACCAACAGTGTACTGGGAGGGTTTCCAGCAGGTTGAGGGAGGTGATTAAGAGGTGGTGAGGCCACATCTGGAGACCTGAGTCCACTTCTGAGTTCTCCAGTCCAAGAGAGACTGGGACATACTGGAGAACATCCAACGAAAGGGCCACTGAGACGATGAAGGGACTGGAGAGGCTGAGAGAGCTGGGACTGGTTGCTCAGAGAGGTGGTGGCAGCTCCATCCTTGGAGATACTCAAAAGTCGTTGGGTTGTGGTCTTGGACAAGCGGCTCCTAGTGACCCACTTGGCCACATGGTTGGACCAGATGACCTTGGAGGTCCCATCCCACCTCAGCCAACCTGTGGATGCCCAAGAACACGGGACCAGATGACCTTGGAGGTCCCATCCCACCTCAGCCAACTTGTGGTTGTCCAAGAACATGGGACCAGATGACCTCGGAGGTCCCATCCCACCTCAACCAACCTGTGGTTGTCCAAGAACATGGGACCAAATGTCCTTGGAGGTCTATCCCACCTCAACCAACATGTGAATGTCCAAGAACACGGGACCAGATGACCTCGGAGGTCCCATCCCACCTCAACCAACCTCAGAACAAGCCCCTGATGTGCTTCTTTTCCCCAGGCTTCATCAAAGTCCTCCTCTACATGGCCTTCATGACCATCATGATCAAAGTCCACACCTTCCCGCTCTTCGCCATCCGCCCCATGTACCTGGCGATGAGGTGAGTTGACTTTTGCTCAGCCTCCAGCGCCGGCACGGCTACCGGCACGCCGTCGGCGTCATCCCACCGCTTCCTTATCTCCTTCCAGGCAGTTTAAGAAAGCGGTGACGGACGCCATCATGTCCCGCCGGGCCATCCGCAACATGAACACGCTGTGAGTAACGCGGCGACGCGACGTTTCCACCCCTTCCCGGCAGCTTTGAGCACCGGTGGCATCTCCTCGGTGGTTGCTTTTTAGGTGGGATCCACCTTAAAAAAAAAAAAACAACCAAATTTGAGTAAAATGCCGGGAAAGACATCAGAAGGACCCCGTAGGGTGACAGGGTCATGGATATCTCAAGCGCCTCCTGCCAAATACCTTAAATTAACCAAAAATTTGGTGGATAACGGCGAGGAGGAAGGGTTGACTGGCGGTGGGGAGGACCTGGAAGTCCTCCTACCTTCCCGGGTCTCCTTTGAACCCCCCAAAATGGTGTGAATGGGTGGGTTTTTGTTTTTTTTTCCGGTGTTTTCCGCCTCCGTCTCCTCCCCGCGCAGTTACCCCGACGCCACGCCGGAAGAGCTGCAGGCCATGGACAACGTCTGCATCATCTGCCGTGAGGAGATGGTGACGGGCGCCAAACGTTTGCCGTGCAACCACATCTTCCACACCAGGTGGGTGAGGAATGGGGGTGGGGGAGGGACGACTCGCGCTCCCCGACCCCTCCGTTTTGGCATCTCCGGTCTTTTTTGGCGTTGCCGCTGAGGTGGTGACCAAACAACAACCCCGCTCGGTAGTTGTGGTGGCGGTTGGTGTTTTGGGAAGGTCTTTGCCATCGCCGGGACCTTAATGGTGTCCTGTCTCCTTTCCAGCTGCTTGCGGTCGTGGTTCCAGCGCCAGCAGACGTGTCCCACTTGCCGGATGGACGTTCTCCGAGCTTCCCTCCCGGCACAGCCACCTCCCGAACCGCCGGAGCAAGCTCCACCGCCGCCCCCGACCCCC